GTATAATGTGGAGGCCGGAGACAACATTCATAATTCTCTCTTTCCATTAGGAGGGTTCCAAGGATTGAACCCAGGTCATATGGCTTGGTAGCAAGTGCCTTTAGCTGATGAGACTTTCAATGGCCCATTTTTGGTGTCTTCAGACTAGGTCTTGCTATGTAGCACGTTTGGTCAAATGCTGGATTTAATAGGCCTAGTGGTGCCATCATGCCTCCTTTCAAATTACAGTTTTAATTCTGTGTAAGAAAACATGACAGCATTTGGAAGAGTCGTATAACTCAATCAGTGCCTACCACGTGAAGTCATGGAGTCAAGAATACAAACTGGTGTGGTGGTTATTCTACACTTGTGAGACTGATGCAATAAAATCTTACAATTCTAGAAAAATCTGAGCTACCCAGCGAAACTTCAACTCTGAACAACCAAATAACAAAGCCCTACCAACCAAAAGTTGATCATTCTTTTATACAATACCAAAGTATAATACCCACAAACTCCTTGTGTTTCAGCCCTTTTAACCATTTGAGGGCAAATTTTCTTCTCATATATATATTCCCCCAAGACATGGTTTCTCTGTAGCATTGGAGCCTGTCCTAGAACTAGCTCTTGTAGACCAGGCTGTCCTCGAACTCACAGAGATCCACCTGCCTCTGCCTCCTGAGTGCTGGGATTAAAGGCCTGCGCCACCACCGCCCGGCCCTTTTTAATATTGTTGTTGTATGTGTATAAATACTCTGTCTGCATCTATGTCTGTGTACAAGGATGCAGTGCCCAAAGAGGCCAGAAAAGTCATAGTCAGCAGTAAGTCTGGTTCTCTGGAAGAGCAGTCAGTGCTTTTAACCACTAAGCCATCTCTAAATTTTCTTCCTACCTCAAAAACAAACATATCAAAATAGAATTGAATGCAGAAATAAGTATGAAAATCCAGTTATCTTCTCCTAACCTAAAAAAAAAACCCCACCCAATTCTTTCTCAAAAATGATTTAAAACATTAATTTATACTAACCATGTTAATAAAAGACCTATTAATTTTTCTAAATGAATTTCAGTTTCTATAATATGGTAAATTTGAGATATACCTCCTATGTTACAAAAACAAAAAATCAATGCCATATATAGTGGACCAAGCCTGTAATTGCAGCACTTGAGAGGTGGAAGCAGGTGGAGTAATGGCAAGTCTGGTCTACATATCAAATTCCACAGCCAGGTGTACATAAGAAGACCCTGTCTCCAAAAATCATCGTCATCTTCTTCATCATGGTCCAGGGATAAAATCAGTGGCAAACTGCCTGACTAGCATGTATAACTGATTGGGCACAATCTCTAGTACACACCCTCTCCAATAATACTGGAGCGTCAGAATACTCAAAGAGTTTTCTGGAATGCAGAAAAAAAAAAAATCAAAGGGGGGAAAACGTCTGAGAACAGCTGGTCCAGAGCAGCACTGCCAGTCCATGACATCCAGGAGGTGTCTAAATGACAAGGTTCTTTGTATTTCAGGGCCCAAGAGAAATTAGCATTTCCAGTTTCCAGCTCTCACAGAAAAAGTAAAACGTTCAGGGTATTGGAGATAAAAAAAAAAAAAAAACAAAACAAAAAACATCTTTCTTTGTCCTTCACTAGCAGATCAGGATATCTGATCCCAACCTAAAATCCAGGGAGATTACAATCAAGCAATTGCAAGGTCATAGAGTCTGATGGGGAAAAGGAACCCCACCTCCATATCTTAGGTATGGAACACACCCTATAGCAGATGCACTTTCTCAGTAGGGATGGCCTTCCATCCGCATGGCCACTCTTTCCTTGGTACGCACTCCTGCCTTCCTTTCCCATGCTCACCCTTCCAATGCTGCTCTTCTGAGCTCAGTCTCCTCAGTTTGCTTGGCACAGCAAAAAAAATAAAAAAAAAAAAAATAGGGTCATTGCAATCTTCACTGCCACTCTCCCCCAACTACAGCCACTTCCTACACTCAAGAGCTTCCGCCCTTCTTCCTAGATGTTCTGGGAACAATTCTGCTCCAAAATGTAACTAAAATCTTATCCTTCACAGCTGTGTGTGGTTCTTATTACCAATTTTCTGACCCATGTGGTCACTAAAGTTGGAATCCCACATGATTTCACTTAAATCCTTGTCTTAACTTTCTACATTATTCTGCCAGCAGATTGTCAATTCTGCCAGATTTAACATCTTTCTAAGCTCTGCATTCCCATAGTGCAACCATAAACTCTTCACTATCTCTGGACTGCTATTTATTCACTGGCTCCTTATGAGACCAAAAGTTAGACAAGATTCCTTGGTAGGCAGAAAGATGGCAAATTTCCAAGATGGTCAGCTTCTTCCTTAACGTCCAGCCTTGAGAAAAAAACAAAAACAACTGCCACATCTGCTGCTGATGGACTGGCACACGCCCAAGGCCTGATTAGGACATGTCGCACTACAGTTGAGGACCAACCAACCATCCTGTCTTCCAACTGACCAGAGACTGGGTTCTCGGGGTTTCCGAGTCGCCCCTGGTTTTGCAGAGATTTTTTTCTGTGTGTCTGCTTGTGCATGATTCCGCACCCCCATAAACGCCTTCCTTTAACTGATAGTCTTTTTGTGGCGCTTAAATTTCTCTGCTGCTACCTGTTGTGCTTCAGATTTTTCCTGCCTTTTATTTCTTTAACTGGTAGAGAAATGAACCAATCAAGATTCCTAAGCTTTCTCATTTCTAGACTCTTATCACTTGGATCTAGTCTGAAATCCTTAGTCAACCTACCCAGTAGCCCTTCTGTACTTCCGACACACAACTGATGTCATTTTCCTGCTATTTACCTTTACATGGAATAATATACTTATGATTTTATTCATTTCTTCCCATAAGATTTTTTTTAATTGTGTTTTCCAAGCCAGACCCGTTAACTCGCCCACAATTACAACCCTGAACTACTTACAGTGAGTTCAAGGCCAGCCTGGGCTACTTAGATAACCCCATCTTTAAGAAATAACCAGGGGACCAGGCATTTGTGGCTCATACCTTTTGCGCACCTTTAATCCCTGCACTCAGGAAGCAGAGGCAGGCGAATCTCTGTGAGTTCTAGGCCAGCCTAGACTACAAGAGCTAGTTCTAGGACAGGCTCCAAAGCTACAGAGAAACCCTGTCTCAAAAAAAAAAAAAAAAAATAGCCAGGGTAGAGGCAGGTGGGTCTCTGTGAGTTTGAGACCAGCCGGGTCTACAAGAGCTAGTTCCAGGACAAGCTCTAAAGCTACTGAAAAACACTGTCTCAAAAAAAAAAAAAAAAAAAAAAAAATAGCCAAGGCTACATAAGAGAGACTCTGTCTCAAAACCAAAACACCTCCCCTCCAAAAAAGGAAAAAGAAATCACAGCTAGGCAGTGGTGGCACACCCCTTTAACTCTAGCACTCTGAAGACAGAGGCAGATGGATCTCTGAGTTCAGTGCCAGCCTGGTCTACAGAGCAAGTTCTAAGACAGCCAGGGCTACACAGAGAAACACCATTCTGAAAATGAATGAATGATAAAACAATAAGAAAGAAAAGAAAGAAAGAAGGAAGGAAGGAAGAGAAAGAAAGTCTAGTCACGTTTAACTGTTCAGAATAGCCACAAAACAACAATCTGCACACAATCTGCACAGCAAACTGTGTCTTAGGGAAAGACAGGAAGGAATGTATCAGGGTTTAGAAGGTAGCTTAATCACTAGAGGTTTCCCTGTAATCAACAGCTCCAAAGCATTCCTAGTTTGGCATTTAAGAATTTTTTTTTTAACTTTCTCATATAAATCGTCAATATGTGAAAGATACATCCCTCCCTTTTAGGACCCTCTTTGAAAAGAGTTACCTAGAAACTGCAAGTCAGAAAATGGATTCATTTAAACTTATACGCGAAAACTTAGGCCCTAATAACCCCAGGTGCAAACCCACCGCGCTGAACAGACAGCGCTAATCTAGCAAAAAAGCCCGAATAACGTTCCTCTCGCCATCTGCTACAGAAAGCCCCCAACAAACACAACTCAGTGCTGCTTCTTTTCAGGCCTTGCTTTATCTTTTCTAAAGCTACTTTGTAACTTCAATGTCTCCCCACCTCTTGATTTCCACAGAACATCTGATAACATTTAAAGACAGGCTTAGCGTCCAGTCAGTAAGTAGCCAGTAATATTCCCGGCAACAAAGGGGATAGTTTTATGCAAAAAAAAAAACAAAACAAAACAAAAAAAACAGTATTTATTGCACCAAATGAAAACATAGGATCGGATGGCATCTTCTCAAAGGGTCCTCCAGATCACTGCAGATTGGTCAAATCAATAGGCGCTGAAATTTAATTAGAGATTTGGAATATCCAACATGACTCCATAAAGGATGAGTTTCAAATAAGGATGAAAATATTTCCAAGATTCAGAACCGGAATGTAAAGACTGGAGGAGGGGTGACGTATTTTTCCAAACAAGTCTCTGTTAAGTGTTCCACTTCTACCACAGCACATACCAAGTATGGCAAATACTTACTTGATTATTTCCCCGTTCTGTAAACTCTTCGCTCATTACTTATTTGTTGATGTTTATAAAAACTGTTTGTAAATGATTAAATGAAAAATATGGCTGGATTAATGTGTTCAATTACATAGGATCACAGCTCCTGCTTGGACTCTCGGGAAGTGTCTATGGAAAACTCAGAGTGGGGTCGAGGAAAAGCAGGCCTTGAGAAGAGCCTGGGCTCCAACCCAAACCACATTTTAAACCAGAGCGCAGCGGGAAAGAGGACATGCTGTAGCCAGGACCGAGTAGGCTGCGGGGCTCGGGCCGCCCGAGAAGCCAACTAAGTTCTCCCCGCGTGGCGGCTGCCGGGGAGGACTCGAGAGCGGGCCGGGAAAGAGGCCGCAGTCCCGGCCTCACCGGAGAATGGCGAAGAGGCGAACCGGAAGCGGTGCTGGGGGCCCGTGCCAAAGGCCGGGGCAAGCGGGAACGGCTGACCAGGGTCTGGCCCCATCTCGGCGGCCACACTCACCTAGGATACCCTGCTTCACCGCGGCTTGGCACCAGCTCCGCGCTGCTTCCTCGCTGCGCCTGCTGGGCGAGCGGGCGACCTCAGGTGTCCCTAGCAACCACGCTCCGCCACGCGCCCCGCGCTCCGCTGCCTCGAACAGCGCCCGCCCCTAGCGGACAGACCGAAGGCCAGGAAGGGACGGACGGGGGGCGGGCCCGAGGCAGGCGCGCCGAATCCCAGCACTTAAGCTGCCTAGAGAATTGGGGGAGGGGTGGGGTAGGTCTTTTTTTTTTTTTTTAAGTGCAAAGGATTTACGCACGCGCAGCCTTGGTGGCACGCTGGAACTCTGCGGGCAGAATTCTGGGAACTGTAGTCCTACAGTTAATGGCTCCGTTCTGGGAATCCACAATTCAATTCATTCTACCAACCGCTCTGGACTCTCTTTGACCTTGGCGCGCCCAGACTCTATTAAAGAATTTCCACTAAAATTCCACGACTTTGAGACAGATAAGAAAAGATAGCTGAAGCTACTTTGACTCACTCCAGCTCACATTTCTCTAAATTCAACCACCTAGAGGGACAGGACTAAGCCGGACATAGGTACAACGATCTGCTTTATGGGCTTCGAGTGACATCTTTAAGAACATGTGAGTCCCTATATTATCTCCCAGCACAGAAAAGATCTGCCGCCTGTTTCAGATGTCGTTGGACCTATTGAATTTTGAGAACTACAGAGACAGTTGGAGGGCAAAAGGATCTTTCTCAGACAGCAAGTTACAGAAATTTAGAGACTAGTCAATGATAAGACTAACCTAATGAAAACAACTTAGATCCATAGCAAAGATGCTCAATAAAATATTTAGGCAACAGTCATTGGTGGATGTTAAACTATTAAAGGACTAGCTACCAAGCTTAGATCAGCAAAGTGAAGGCAATTGTCCAGTTCGTGTCCTGATGTGATTTGGATTACATGGCAGTATTTGTGAAATACAGTATATTTTATAAAATGTTAATTTTTTTTAAAAAATCATCTTATTGGGTTTTTAATATTTATTTATTTATTATGTATACAATATTCTGTCTATGTGCATGCCTGAAGAGGGCACCAGGTCTCATTATAGGTAGTTGTGAGCCACCATGTGGTTGCTGGGAATTGAACTCAGGACCTTTGGAAGAGCAGGCAATGCTCTTAACCACTGAGCCCCCAAATGTTAAATTTTTTAAGATAATTTTAAAAATTGAATCGAAATCCAATCAAGCATTGGCTTTAATTTCCAGTATATAAGAACTACTGAATACTGCTATAGAGTGATACAAATGCAGAATTTAAACCAATATGCAGTATGAATGAACTTTCTTCAACAAAATGGAAGAGCTGGAAATAAAAGGGGGAAAAAAAAACCTCATGGTTAAGAGCACGCTGCTCTTGCAGAGTACCTGAGCTCCATTCTCAAGATCCATGTTGTATGACTCACGATTGCTGTAACTCCAACTTCATGGGATCTGACACCTTCCTCTCATGCCTGAGGGCACCTGCAGTCACTTGGCCATAACTACCTGCCACACACAGAGAGAGAGAGAGAGAGAGAGAGAGAGAGAGAGAGAGAGAGAGATTTTTTAGGAAAGGAAAGAAGTGTTTTAGATGATAATATGTAAAAGATCAGGTCAACTAGATGACTCAGCAGATAAAGGTGATTCCCAGCAATCCGGAAGATCTAAGTTCAAACCTTAGGACTGATATGGTGGAAAGTGAGAACAAACTTCCCAAAATTGTCCTCTGACCACCACGACTGACACATTTATAGTAACTTCCTATGAAAGTCACAGGTGACTACACCAAGTATTTCAACATTTTGGTGATTTTGGAGATATTCTTGTTTTCCAGGAAGCAAAGTAGTTCTGAGGGTATAAATGGCATAATACTAGAAGTTTACTATTGTTTTAAAAAAAACTACAGGAAGGGTAGGGGAGGTGATTCGGTCAATAAAGTGTTGAATAAGTATGAAAAACTAAGTTCAGGCTGGGCAGTGGTGTTGCACGCCTTTAATCCCAGTACTAGGGAGGCAGAGGCAGGCAGATCTCTGGGAGTTTGAGGCTAGCCTGGTCTACAGAGTTAGTTCTAGGACAGCTAGGGGCTGTTACACAGAGAAACCCTGTCAGAGAGAGAGAGAGAGAGAGAGAGAGAGAGAGAGAGAGAGAGAAAGAAAAACTAAATTCAAGCTAGGAGGTGGTGACACATGACTTTAATCCCAGCACTTGGAAAGCAGAAGCAGGTGGTTCTTGGTGAGTCTATGGAGTGAGTTCCAGAACAGTCAAGACTATACAGAGAGACCCTGTCTTGGAACTGCACCCCCCAAAAAAGAAAAAAAAGAGTTCATATTCCTAGCACCCACATAAAAAACTGGGCACAGGGATTGGAGAGATGGCTCAGTGGTTAAGAGCACTGACTGTTCTTCCAGAGGTTCTGAGTTCAATTCTCAGCAACCACATGGTGGCTCACAACCACCCATAATGAGATCTGGTGCCCTCTTCTGGTCTACAGGCAGGATACTCTATAAATAAATAAATATTTTATTTTTTGGTCAAATAAGACATTTACTCTTACACATCACTGACATATCCACACAGCATCAATGAAGGCCAAGATCATAAGGATGGTGAAAAAGTTTCCTATACTCTCTATTGAGAGTATAGGAAATACCTATATAAAATTATTTGAATTACAATTCAGGAAATACTCAAAATCTGTGAGCTCAGTCATATTTATATAACTGCTGGTTTAAATGAGGTGTGAGTTTTATGCATTAATTGTTCTGACTATAATTGCATGGAAAAGCTTTTTCATTCAACCTCATAACCATTTATTAAGGCACTACCATGGAATCCTCTCCGAACAGTTGCTCGATCCTGAATTCACAATCATAGCTGTCTACCTGCTTGAGGTAATCATTAACCTTCGCAACAGGCTTTAATGAAAAGCAGAATGACGCATTTTCATTATCTCAAAACATAAATCACTTGAGTATGATGCTACCAAAAGCCATAAACTCTATTGGCCAAAAATAAATGGCTTCCTTTGTTACCACGGGTGTGGTTCTAGGCCCCTGGTCCACATCTGAATCTTTTTCTCTGACTCAGACGAGCTTCTGTGCTTCTTTTCATCTGCAGCAGCCATTTATGACTGCTGGATACTGAGACACGTTTACAACTTCATTCCTTTACAGAATCTAGAAATACTTCTGTAAATCAATTAGTTCATTTATTGAATCAGTATTAGCTCTGACTATGCCTAAATAAATAAATCTTAAAAAAAAAAAAACTAGGCACAGTTGTACAAGCCTATAATTCCACTGCTTGGAAGGTAGAGACAGGAGGATCCCTTCCATTTGCTGGACAGTTTATCTACCTTTTTGGTTGGCTGCAAGTTCAATAACAATCTGTATCTCAAAAATTAAGATTGGAAGTTATTGGAAGCCACTTCACATCAACTCCCTCGGAATGTGAACATGCACATGCATTAAATGTAAGTAACCAAATAAAATGGTATAGGAATGTCAAGGGATACAGCTCAGTGGTAAAATGATTACCTAGAGAGTATGCCCAAGGTGATGGATTCAGTTCCCCCGACAAAAAACAAACAACTGGACATAGTAGAATACACTTTTAATTCCAGAGTCAAAGGTAGGTGGTCTCTGCCAGTTCAAGGGCAGCCTGTTGGAAATAGAGAATTCTATGCTGTCAGGGACCAGCCTCAACAAAAATACTTCTCGCCAGGGTAAGGGCGTGGGGATTTAGAAATATGGTAAAGAATATGAAGACACGAATGAAAACAATAAAACGGAGAAACATACAGGATAGTATCGGGAGAGAGTTTCCATGAGTACTGAAGACACACTGCATTTAATTTCCAACTGCTTAAAATACCCCTTACCCCAAAAGGTAGGAGTAAGACTAAAGACTGCATTAACATGATACAAGGAAATAAACATACCAATTGAGAGTCACGGGCCCATAGTTAAACATTCTGTTGCTGTTGAACAGTGGTGGCACACACCTTTAATCCTAGCACTCGGGATAGCAGAGGCAGGCGGATCGCTGAGAGTTCGAGGCCAGCCTGATCTACGAGAGCTAGTTCCAGGACAGGCTCCAAAACTACAGAGAAACCCCCTGTCTTGAAAAACCAAAAAAAAAAAAAAAAATTCTGTTGCTAGAATTTAACAAGTCACCAAGTCACACTCATGCCAGTGACCAAAACACTCTGTAGGCAAACCACTCCCTGGGTAGAATCCCAAGTTATCTCCATAAGGGGAACTGGAACTTAGTTGGATCCTTAGACTTTTGTTTGAGGTAGGAGCAGATCTGCTTCTCTCTTCCTGGAACACAGGGTCTGGCAATTAGCCACACCTGTTAGACAAAACATTGAGAGAGCAGAACTCTTGAATCAACATTTAGGTGGAGCCTTTGAGGTAGAAGCCCAATAACCTTGTAAATTCCTACTTTCTGATCTTTGGTCAGTATGGAACTAGGTTCATAATTTTGGGCCTCCACACCAGGCCAGCCAGAACTACATAGTGAGACTCTGTCTCAATAAGTAATTTAATAGGTAAATAACCAAAGCAACAACAGTAAGAAACCCCAACACCGGGTTGGAGAGATGGCTCAGCCGTTTTGGCTCACAATCAAAAATATAAGAGTTCAGTTCCCAGCACCCACAGCTGTCTCTCCAGTCACCAAAGAATTAAATTTTTAGAAAGAAAAAGAAAAAAAGAAAAAGAAACCCCAACACCTACAGAAAACACACCTTAGTAGTAAGGAATAAAATTATCATCTGTAGTGGTTTGCTCTGTCCCTTTAAGAGACAAGCCACACCCACTCCCTCCCCTGTCTGCCAAGGCAAGCTGATCTTTAGCCTCCAGCCTGAGTCTTTTCCTTTTCCATCTCTGGAAGAGGCAACTTCTGTCTCTCCTTTCTCTCCCCACTTCTCCCCCCCCCCCGATCTCTCTCTCTCTCTCTCTCTCTCTCTCTCTCTCTCTCTCTCTCTCTCTCTCTCTCTCTCCTCCCTCTTCCCCAATCTCCCCTTCCCTTCCATAACCCACTAAATAAATATCCAACTTCACTCTGCATGGCGTGTTTATCCATGTCTCTGTCTCTCACTTGCAATGTCTGGGACCAGCTGCCTTCAGAGACCTGCAGCATGGTCTTGTGGCGTGTCTATCCGTCTCAGT